AAATGGGCAAACATTTAACCCCTTGCCAAGTAGCAGGAAATAAGTGGCCACACAGCATATGGTCAGAAAACAGATACATGTTTGTACAGCTCTATCTGTATCTCACTTGGTATTCCTCACCAGCTACTTTGCAAGTCTTCCCATTGGGTTCTAAGACATAACCTTCGTCGCAATAACACCTGGAAGTTCCTCTTTCATTGTGGCAGTGCTGGCTGCAAAACCCTGGGGGGTCACATTCATTAATATCTTCACAGGTTTTGGAGTCATTGGTAAGCTGGTATCCAAATGGACAAGAACACTGAGCCCCAAAGGGGCCTTGAATACATTCATGGGTGCACCCTGCGTTGTTATCAGAACAAGTCTCCTGGTCTGCAAAGAAATGGAAGAGGGTCATGAGCTTGCGTGTTTGAAAAGCTTTCAACTTCCCACAAATAAGTAATATGCAATAATAACAAACAGTAAATAATGCATCCCATTTTCCTGTAGAAGTGAATAGAGGACTGAATCCAGCTTTAGTTATAGATCCTCTGAAATCAGAGACTCAAGTAATTGTTAGTATGAGTCTCACTGATTTCAATGGGTCTGTTTTAAGCATAAAGAAGTCTGAATTGGACCCAGCTTGTTTGGTACCAAAGGCTAATGGAAAGGCATTTTGAACAGCGGCAGCTCGTGGCTTCCATGTCAGTATATCAGCATTTCTGCCTCAAGTTGTAGTTGAGAGTTTAAAGCTGTTATCCAAGGTGCTATTCCCAAAAGTATAGCTCCTTTCAAGTTTGGACTAAAACCCAGAATGGATTCACTGTCCAACTGACAAGCAAAACACTGATTATACATAAGAAGACTGTATTTGATCTGTAACTAAGATGGTTTAGGTAAAAGTGGAGCCTATTTGGCAGGAGTTACACTTATGGCTAGTGTCGAAGATTGTTCTTGCAAACTGATAAGGTCTGGGAATGTTTTCCTAATGAAATTTTAAGGTTTTTACGTTTAACATATTCTATTTTAACTCATCACTGTTTTAACTTTTTAAATGGTTTAATTGTTTTTTTAAATTTTATATTTATATATTTTAATGTTGCATTTGTTTTTTAATTGTATTGTTTTAAATCTGCTGTCCACCACCTTGAGTCCCTGTAATGGGAGAAAGGTGGGATATAAAAAAATAAAATAAATAAATAAAATATTCTTCCTGAGCTGGTCATTTTGCTAGGTTCCCATCTGCATGATATTACAAGCAGAAAAAGGTTTCAAAATAAAGATATTTTGTGATATGTTTTAGCTCACAGTAACAGGTATTCTTATTCTGAAATCTTTTTCCACTTGTAATACCACGCAGATAGCTACCTAGCAATGACCAGCACAGGAAGAGCAATCTTCAGCTACATCTGCACTGTAGAAATAATGCATGGCACTGCTATAACGGCCATGGCTCCATCTTATGGAATCCTGGGATTTGTATTTTGTTGCACCATCAGAGCTTTCTAGCAGAGAAGGCTAAATATCCCACAAAACTACAAATCCCAAAATTCCATAACATTAAGTCATTGCAGTTAAAACTCTGTCAAACTGCCTTATTGTTGCAGTGCGGATACTATCTTTGAAACTAGCCATAAGTGTAACAGCTGTGTCTCAGGATCATTAAATGGCATGGCAAAAAAACTGATAAATAGCAAGCTACAAAAGGTTTTCTTTGGGAGGGGGATCAAAACCCTAGCTGCATTTTTCATATGTGAACCACAATTCCTTTGCAGGAAGCAGGAGGCAGCAAAGAAGAAAATGTGATGGCTTTGGCTACTTGAGTTTTCCCCAGCCAACTGAGGTAAATACAATATTATACATTCTGATAAGATGGGAAGACAAAATGATTTGCTTTTTACTTTGTGACATGACCCTTTCAAACATTCTCAGCCATCAGATACTCTAGTTCAGGGGTAGGCAACCTTTCCCCTTTAAGGGCCGAGGGACTTCATGCTCCCAGAATCCCAAGAGCTATTGGCCAACATGGGACTATTGGCCAACATGGCTGAGGCTTCTGGGAGCTGAAGTCCCTTGGCCCTTAAAGGGGAAAGGTTGCCTACCCCTGCTCTAGTTCTTTTCTGTAAATTTGACATGTAAATATTCTGTCCTTCTCTTTACCGAAGACCACAGAAAATTTAATTTTACATTATTCCAAATACAGGTTATAAACTGCTCAAGAAAAACTTCTATTGACCTGCTTCTCCCACCCAAATACATAATAAAATAACTTAATAGCATTAGGAATTATGATAATTTGAGGCTTATTTACACAATCAGGTATGCTAAGGTATTGAATGGTTCATGTCCGTAGTGTGCGTGTTTATGTATTGGATTTATTTCACACCTTTCTTTCAAAACTAGAACTCAAGATGGTTCACAGAGGGGGGATGCAGACGGGCGGGCCCTAGGCCACCCCAGGAAGTGTAAGATCGAGGCCGAGGAAAGCAACACATCAAAAGGCTGTGCTGGAAGGACGTCCTGACGCCGCATGCCGTGCGTAATGGCGCGTGGTGTCAGGACGTCTTTGGGGACGGGTTGAGGCGGCCAGCGTGCAGCTGCCCCTCCCCATCCCTTCCTCCAGGACAGCCCAAAGGGCCCATCTGTAGAGGCCCAGAAAGAAAGAATAAAACCTAGAGATAATAAATAAATCCACATTCTAAAACACCATTAAATTAAAACCACAATTGAAAACACCTCAGTATAAAAACACAGCAGATAGAGCAGTCACTTCTTAAAAAGCTCCTTCTGTTTCAAGCTGTCAATGGTCAAAAACATGTGGCTGATTAAAAAGATGTTTGACTGCTGGTAGAAGGACAACAAGGAGGGGAGGCAACCTAGAAAGTCCTCCACAAATGTGGATCTGAAGGTGGCAGAACTGAGAGAAGAACCTCCAAAAAAAACCTAAAATCTATATAGGCTCACATGGTAGAATATGGTCCTTTAGATGGTCTGGACCAGGGGTAGGCAACCTAAGGCCCAGGGGCCAGATGCGGCCCAGTGAGGCCTTTGGACCGGCCCCAAGGCGGTCCTGCCGCTGTCGCCGCCGCCGCCCGCCATGATGATATTGATTATTGTTGTTATTACTTGTTCTTGGGGTTTTCTTGGCAAAATCTCCACAGGGTTTTTGCCATGGCTTTTCCGGGGCTTAGAGTGTGTGCATGCATATTTTTAATTTTTTTTAAAAAATATATTTATTTATTTATTTGTGGTGCTTCGGCCCCCCAACTGTCTTGAGGGTCAGCAACCCGGCCCACGGCTTAAAAAGGTTGCCTACCCCTGGTCTGGACCTAAGCCATATGGGGCTTCATAGGATAAAAACAGCACTTCCAGTTTTGCCTGGAAACAGGCCAGTAACCAAGGTCAATGATGGCAAGAAAGGTTGCCTGAGAATGGATGCCTCTCAAAAGTCTTGTTGAGTTTTTGGAAAAACACCTTTAGATTTTCATAGAATCATAGAGTTGGAAGAGACTTCAAGGGACATCCAATACAACCCCCCTGCCATGCAGGAAAACACAATTAAAGCACCCCTGACAAAGGGTCATCCAGTCTCTGTTTAAAAACCTCCAAAGAAGTAGGTTTTAACTGGCTGTTTTCCTTTAATGTTCTCTCTATAACTTTAAACAGTATTGTTAACTGTTATTTTTTTTTCAATTCTTTTTGTAAAATTATTTTGAATGTTGACAATAATTAAAAAAAAAAAGAAGCCAGTTGCAGGGGAATGTGGCCAGGGGTACGGTTGCACTCAGGTCCTTCTGGTGGGCTTTCTATAGGCATCTAGCTGCCCTTTATGGGAACAGAAAGCTGGACTAAATTAAGCCTTTGGTATGAATCAACATGTTTAGGCTTAAAAAAACCCAAACCTGACTCAACATTCTTTGAAACCATTTCAGATGTCCCCTGTTTCTGTAAAAAAAAAAAAACCTCCGTCAACCAATATGATTTGAAATTCGGTATCAAAATATGAATCTAATATGTTTTAGGATCATACCTGGCTGAGGCTCATCTGAGAATGTGTATTGATTGATTAGAAAAGAGGAGGAAAGAAAGAGAGAGATTAGGATTAAGAACAAATCAACACTGATTGTAATCAACACAGATACTTCTGGCCCCTTGTAGGTTTTGAGATTAAAATCAAGTAAAAGTTAGAAATATTAAAGGAAATATTAAAGACTGAATGAAGTTTGATTTTAAATTAAAAGCCACTACTGATTAAGTTCAAATCTCCAATGGTAAATTTAATATTTATTTGAAAACTAATTCTGGTAGTAGACAAGTATGAAATATAACATATTAAGTTTAAAGGAAGCACTGGATAAACATTCAAAGTCACATAAAATTACAACAGTAGAGCAGTGGGCCCACACATATAGATATTTGCTCCAAATTCTTGTTGTGTGCCTTCAGATCATTTCCAAATTATGGTGACCCTAAAGTGAAGCTATCATGGGATTTTCTTGGTGAGGTTTATTCAGAGGAGGTTTGCTTTTGCTTTCCTTTGACACTGAGAGTGTGTGAGATGCCCAAGATCACCTAGTGGGTTTCCATGGCTGAGCAGAGATTTGAACCCTGGTTTCTAGAGTCATGATCCAGCACTCATGCAGTACACCACACTGACTCTTTGGCTCCAAATACTAGAATTCATATGCAATGGGGGAGAGATAGATTGGGATCTACTGGAAGATCTAAGGAAAATTTGCAGTAGATTACAAGGATTTCTAGCGCTCTACTACTTAGCATTAGCAACAACAAAATGATTTCCATCTAGCCACGATACACAACTATGCTGCTTAAATGAAGAGAACTTATAAAAGGTGTGGATGTATCAAGGACAGGATTTCTGTGTGGCAGGACTGAACTCAGTTCAGTTCTGGTATCCAGAACAAATACCTGACCTTAGAGTTCATGAATTCCAGTTATATATTTCTTGCATTTGTAAATTTATGAGGTAAATTTCCAAATTCTAGTAAAAAAACAAAGTAAGAGCCAGTATGGCTTAGTGGTTTGAGGGTTGAACTATGACTCCAAAGGTCATGGTTCTATTCCCCACTCAGCCATGGAAACCCAGTGGGACCTTGAGAGTTAACTTCCCAGAAAACCCATGACAGGTTCACATTAAGATCAACAACAACAATTCCCCACAAACTTGAAGCCTACTCAGTCCTGCTATACAACATGAAAGTAACAGATTCCATATCTTATTCTTCACTGAAGTCCAGTGCTTTTTATTTTATTTATTTATTACAGTAGTAGCTCATTTTTCCTTCATGTAACTTATATATATTCTCATTCTGTCTTCACAATGACTTTGTGAGGTAGGTTAATTTCCCTTGTCTCTCAAAAATTCAAGCCAGTTCCACCCATAGCCAATATCCCGACTAGTGCAGGCCTGCATGCATGAAAATCAACAAAAAAGACCATGGTCACTTACTGCAAAGAGGGGACTCATCAGCTCCATTAGGGCAGTCCACAAGATTGTCACATACTTTGCTCAGATTTATACACATGCTGTGGCCTGGACATTGCCACTGCCAGCTAGGGCACCTAAAAGGCGGAGTAGGACAGTCTCTCTCATCACTCATATCCCTGCAGTCATTGTCACCATCACAGAGCCAAGCACGATAGATGCAGTTTCCATTGTCACAGTGGAAAAGAGAAGGAGGGCAGGTCTTAGGAGGACATCTATGATGTTCATCAGAGCCATCTACACAGTCCGGGTGTCCATCACATTCCCAGTTATCTGGGATACAGTTGCCATCAGACTGACACTGGAATTCATTCTGGTGACACATCCCAGGTGGCCTTGTAGCTGAAACAATAATATTAAGCACGTGGGACAGTATCCATATATATTTGGGGGAAAGCAAACTTAATTGATATTTTCTCTTCTCAGTCAACCAACCACAAAACATAAAGTACAAGCCAAAGGAAATGTGCAGTATGACTCCTGTATCCACAGGGGTTACGTTCCAAGACTTACCCCTGTGGATTCCTGAAAAGACAAACAATAAAGAACCCTATTGTTTTCAATGAGATGAATGAGCTCTGGCCCTATATACCATTAAATCACACTGGAGGGCCTAGAAATGCCTGAAGAGAACACTTCTTTCTTGATGACAATCAGAATTGTCCTCTAACACGATTCTACGTTATGCTTGGGCAGGAAGTTGACTATAGAATCATTCTGGAGGATAATTCCTTTTTTTCTCCCCCCAGACATGGATAAGTGAATGTGGATACCAAATCTGTGGATATGGGAGCTGTACTGTATAAGCCCTAAATTCAATTATAGAGACAGACATGAAAATGAACAGGACTTGTTAGTGAACAATAATATAAGTCCCACTGATTTCAATGCATTTATTTTCATTCGTATTTAACCCACTGCATGGAGATGAAAAAGCTACTATCATAGCACTATTGGTGTTGACTGCATCAAGTGAAATAGGAAGCAACAGTCTGATCTACTAGGAACTGTCTTTAGTAAAGCACACAGCAGAGGTTCCCTTGTAACCCATAAAAATTCAGTATAATTATTTGTTAAAACTGAAAGCACCTCTTGTTCAAGACAACCGAAAAATCCTAATAAATTCTAATGTCTGAACATGTTGTTTCTAAAGCTGAATACAAAACCAGTCAGTAAAATAAAATAGTGATTCCAATTTAGATTGACAATAGCTTCTAACCCATGTCACACTGTCACAAGAAAAGACTGCTATATTGTGTGTGTCAAGTTAATGCTAAAATCTCATCTTTGCATATTTCACTAACAAGGTAATTTGTAGGATACTTACGACAATTAGCCTCATCTGAGTGATCATTGCAGTCAAAGACACCATCACACTGGTAGTAACTACTGATACACTGGTCTCCACTTGCACATTTAAATTCAGTGGAACTGCAGTTGTAAACTATGGTAAAAAAAAAAGATTAAATTATTATCTCAGATGTTACTTTTTAACAACAAAATTCTAAATAGCTACTTAGCTATGGTAGTAATTATATAGAACATAAGAGGCAGTCATTATAAATAAAGACCAGAACACAGGAGTAAATTATGGTATAATTATTTCCTATGAAATATATTAAATATTTGCACAAGCTGAAAAGATTGAATCAAGCAATAATTTGTTTTCTTTCTCAGCCCATATAGTAACTGCTATGTAGTCTGACAGATTTTCAGAATAATTCAAAACACAATTTAAGTCACAAAGCAAATGGGGAGAAATGTTGTACTTTAAAAATGTAGAATAAATGTACAGCCTGCCTTCCACATACACAGATTCTGCATCCATGGATTCAACCATCCATTGCTTTTCTTTAAAAAACCCAAAAAGCCAACCTTGGTTTTGTCATTCTATATAAGGGACACTATTTTACTACCTCACTGTATATATGGGACTTGAGCATCCATCAATTCTGGTATCCGCTGCAGTTCTGAATCAAACACCAGCTGATACCAAGGGCTCACTGGATAAGGAATCCTTGTTGTTGTTGTTGTTGTTGTGTGCTTTCAAGTTATTTCCAACATATGGCAACCCTAAGATGACCCTATCACAAGATTTTCTTGGCAAGATTTGTTAACTTTCCCTGAGAGTGTGAGATGCCCAAGGTCACCCAGGGGGTTTCCATGGCTAAGAAGGCTTTTGAACCCTGATCTCCCAGAGTTGTAGTCCAATGCTCAAACCAATACATCACACTGGCTGTCATAAGAATGTGATAAGGAGTTCCACCACATATCAGTATCAGTATATCAGTATATATATATCACTATTTCTTTTTGATATTACTCTTTATAACTTATAGAATATATTGCTACTCTTCTCATGTCTCAAATGAGAACTGAGTGGAGAACTGATACAGTTTTTCAAGGCCATCCAGTGGGCCTTGCTTGAATTCATAATTTGAAGTACCTGTGTCTTCAAACACAACCCATGCTACTTCACTAGTTAGAAATTGGAGTCCGCCTATTTTCAAATAAGATTATTTTTAAATAAAAGTTGATGGTTTAAAAATAACACTAAGATTTCTAATCTGAGATAATAGAGTTTTTAACAAGAATACTCATTAATAAAGATCCAGAATCGACTAATAAAGAATGGGCTCCAATAGAAGAATTTTTAAAACTAAGATGGGAATAAATTGGCAAAGGCATGAAGTTAAAACTAACTTAGAAGGACATGGAAAAATAACTGTTTAAAGTTATGGCTTATTCTGACTATAAGAGTATAAATTAACAGGTTAAGAGATATAGAAAGATAGAATTTATAAGAAACAAGAATGTGTACTTACTTTTGAAGAACTATGGAGAAGTGTATAGAAATGTATATATGTATTGGATTAAGAAGACTGAATGTTTATACAGGTTATATTTTATTTATATTTTTAAATTAATAAAAATTAATAAAAAATATATGAGATAACTGAGTTTGCAGTGATCTTGTGTCAGTGGCAACGGAGTACAGATACTTAACTGCAATCATGTTCATCTGCTCCATCAATACAATCCTTGTCACCATCACAGACATAAAATGGATCAATGCACCTATGATCTGGACACTGGAACTGACCAGGTTCACACGTCTCTGTAAAAGCTATGAACACAACATTTTTATTTTATTTTTTTACAAAACTAACTTAATATGATATCAGTTCTGCTGCCAAATCCCTCATCTTCATTTTGAATAAAGATATTACACAGCACAGAACTGCAAAATGTTTATTACCCTAGTGTACTTCAGGTGCTTTGGACTATAACTCTCACCATCCCCAGGGGTAGGTCATGCTAATTGGAGCTGAGAGGAGTTATAGTCTAACATCTGGAGAGGACAACACTGGGGAACTCTGTGCAGAACAATCCAAAAGATATTTACTCAAGAAGGTGAAAAAGTCTACTTGGAATCAACAGAACAGCTTAATTATGTTTTAAGTCAATCTGATTTCAACAGTGGTGAAGTACAACTTAATCTGGATCAACACATTTGTTTATTTTTGTGTATTTATTTGAAGGATTTATAAGGTCAATGGGACTTAATCTATAGGAAGTGTGCTTATGTCTGAGCCACAGAAACCTTACAGCAATGAATCAAAACTCCACTTTGAATACCTTCACCGGGATAAAAAGTTAGGTGTAAAAGAGACAGGCAAGAAGACAAGTGCAAAGGTCAGTCACTCTGGTGTTCATATGGAAAAGTAGGTTTCTGGTGAAGGTGGAAACAAAAGCAGATCTCAAATTTACCAGGGGCCACGTTTGTGCCTTGTGAGGCAAAAAGGAGAGGGGCCAATTCTGGCTATAGGAAGTGTTTCGGGCATCTGGTACAGCCATGATGGCTGTTGTACTGCACCTGAACAGTCAGAATGCTTTGCTAGCTATGCAAGGGAAGGACTTCCCCCTTAGTCCAGCTAAAAAGCTCAACTCAGCACCCAGTCACATTGCTGGGTGAGACATCAGAAGATGGAAATCACTGCACCATCCTGTTCCAAGACTTACTGCAGTTTTTTTCATCTGATCCATCACCGCAGTCATTGTCTGTATCACACAGCCAGATTCTGGGAATGCACTTGTTGTTATCACAGGTGAAGAAGGCTGTAGGACATGACGTAGGGCCCTGTGTGGGGCAATTAAGTTCATCGCTGTTGTCCAGACAGTCATTATGCTTATCACACCGCCAGCGGCTGGGAATGCACTGGCCATTTCTACAGGTAAAGGCTGATGTGGCACAGGAAGTGTCTAAGCAAGAAATACAATGTCAAAATGTCTGCTGATACAAAAAAAAAGTTTTCCTTACAAACATGCTAATATTTTAACCATGTAAATGTCTACTTAGATGTAAAGCCAACTGAGCTCACTGGCACTTACTGCAGTTGAATAACTTCTAAGTATTTGTATCATTGGAGCAAAAAGCAAATTTTCTAAACGTCATTGATTTAAATGCAATTGGGAACAACTCCCTCCTCTTTTCTCCATCTACAGATTTATACTTAAGCACTTTCTTGCAGGGATGACATGTGAACAAACTGCCATGGTCTACAAGGTCTTTTCAGTTTCCACAAAGCA